TGACAGGATGTCAGGAATTTTGCAAAAGCTTTGAAAACAAAGTAGGGGATGGCACAGCTGATGCATTTCATCCCCTAAGGTTTGCTTATCTCATTTGTGCTAGTATTTGAAGCTGACTTTCGTAAGAAATGACCCACATTCCCAAGGCTGTTTTGCAAATCAGGGATGCTAGTTTCATGAAAAAAAAGGGGCTTGATAACACTCTAGTCACGCATTTTTGAAATTCTGATGGGGATATGTTCTCTTCCAAATACAAGGCACTTTTCAGAGTTAGTATGTGAACTTGTACCTATATATTTCAGTTAAAATTGTGGCTTGCTGAAATTCAGTGCTTTGATATCTCTAACAAGTTTAGCTTTAGACAGAATTCAAACAATACAAGACGTAAGAAACTTAAAATTCAGCTGGTTTGAAGATATTGTAAGATTAGCTCTTTACTTCTTGTCTAAACTTCTGTATTTGTGCAGAAAGATTACTTTTCATTCTATAATTTTAGTTAAAGAACAACTGTGAAGCAATTTTCCATTTTTTTTTAAATCTGCCATCGGGCAAAAATTGCTCATGTTATTATGAGGAGGTGATTTTAATAAGAATGCTGCATGTTAATACCCAGCAACTATGAACTACTCATTTGATATCTGCAATGTTTGTTGAATCTTGTTAACTAAGCAATTATGGAGTTACTTGTCCCCCAAAGTTTTAAAAAGAATAAAGCTAAAGTTCTCATTACATTAGATTTATTTTTAAACAGTTTTCCAGAACGTACAGATCTGAATCACAGAACAGCAGCAGTGAAGCTTGTGTTGTAGGCCATGATGATGATCCATACCATGTAAGAAGCTTAAAGCGGTGATATCGAGATAGAATCATAGAATGGTTTGGGTTGGAAGGGACCTTAAAGATCATCTAGTTCCCACCCCCCTGCTGCGGGCAGAGACAGCCTACACTAGACCACGTGGCCCAAAGCCCCATCCAACTTGGCCTTGAACACTTCCAGGGATGGGGCATCCACAACCTCTCTGGGCAACCTGTTCCAGTGCCTCACCACTCTCACAGTAAAGAATTTCTTTCTAACATCTAATCTAAATTGACCCTCCTTCAGCTTAAACCCATTACCCCTTGTCCTGTCACTACACTCCCTCATAAACAGTCCCTCACCATCTTTCCTGTAGGCCCCTTCAGGTACTGGTAAGCTGCAATTCGATCTCCCCGGAGCCGCCTTTTCTCCAGGAAAGTAGCCCTCATTCTCCTTGCATATCATAGTATGACTGTTTTAATTCTAAATTATGTTCATTTTGGGTTTTTTCTTGTTGGTCCCTCCCCCCCCACCTTTATTGAAACCCAAGGTTTGGGGGAAGCAAACAAGCTGCAAAGGGAAACTAAAATTGACTGTAACAAGGTGTTCATATAATTTAGTGAAGTATTTTAACAAGTGCTTAATGCTAACACAAAGGTGCAAGCATGGGATAAAATTATAAGTTCCAGCCTTCTGTTTAGAACTATAATTAAGTTTAGTATGATATAATCATGGAATCATATAGAATCATAGAATGGTTTGCATTGGAAGGGACCTTTAAAGATCATCTAGTCCAACCACCCTGCAATAAGCAGGGACATCTTCAACTAAATCAGGTTGCCCAAAGCCCGATCCAACCTGGCCTTGAACTGGCCTTGAATGTTTCCATGGATGGGGCATCTACAACCTCTCTGGGCAACACGTTCCAGTGTTTCACCACCCTCATTGTAAAAAATTTCTTCCTTACATTGAGTCTAAATGTCCCTTCTTTTAGTTTAACACCACTACCCCTTGTCCTAATGCAACAGGCCCTACTAAAAAGTCTGTACCCATCTTTCTTGTAAGCCCCCTTTAAGTACTGAAAGGCTGCAATAAGGTCTCCCCGGAGACAGCCCCAACTCTCTCAGCCTGTCTTCATAGGAGAGGTGCTCCATCCTACCTGATCATTTTTGTGGCCCTTCTCTGGACCTGCTCCAAGAGCCCCATGTGTTTCCTGTGATGAAGACCCCAGAGCTGGACACAATACTCCAGGTAGGGTCTCATCAGGGCAGAGTTGAGGGGGAGAATCGCCTCCCTCAACCTGCTGGCTATGCTTGATGGTAATAATTGTATCCAGGCTATAGCTATAGGTTTGCCAGTTGTACCCATTCTCTTGAGATCCCCGCATCCTATGAACGTATGGTCCTCATACACGGTTAGGGACCATGGTGGGTAGAGAAAAAGGAAGCCCAATGACACAAAGTTGAAATGCTGTCCTGGTTTCAGCTGAGAGGATTGATTTTTCTTCATAGTAGCTAGTGTGGGGATATGTTTTGGATTTGTGCTGGAGACAGCATTGATAATATAGAGATGGTTTTGTTCTATGGACCTGTTGTTGAGCAGTGTTTATGCGGGGCCAAGGCCTTTTCTGCTCCTCACACCGCCCTGCCAGCGGGATGGCTGGGGGTGCACAAGAAGTTGAGAGGAGACACAGACAGGACAGGTGACCCAAACTGACCAAAGGGATATTCCATACTATATGACGTCGTGCTCAGTTTATAATGAGCCTGGGGGAAGAGAGAGGGGGCGGGCGGCATTAGGAGCGAGGGCGTTTGTCTT